TATTGCTATTAGTAGTTGTTGTTATTTGCTTTAGTTGTTGTTGTTTATTTAGTTGTATTTAGTTTCAATAACTTTTCTTTATAATGCAATAAAATCTGGCGAGCAACTATTTAAACGAACGAACACTTCGTTTGTTTATTTGTGGCTTGAAGTTAGGCTCGCAGAAAATGCCGTTCATGGGTTAAATTTAGTAGGAACAACACAACCTATGACGTAGGCTATATTATACCCAATTGAAATAAAAATTTTAAAAATAAATCTTCGACAAAGAAATAAGTATCTTTCATAACTATCACCATTATTTGTAACAGTTCCTTCTTTTTTCATTAACTAAAACCATTCAATTCAATTTATTTTATACTTTTAAACTTAAACAAGACACAAATTCAAAACTAGACTAGATCCCGCTTTAAACCTGTGAATTCAACTGTTTGACGTAAAATTTAATTTTAAGACTAGCATTGATAAAATGATGAAAAAATTTCATTGTTATTATTAAATATTTTCAAAATAATTACTAGTCCTTTATTGGTTAATATGTTCATATGTTAATGCGCTAATATGTTCACAATAGCTAATGAAATTAAATTACAATGTACGGGCTCCGCTAAAAAAGGGTCGTACATTTGGGGAAAAAGATTTGAAAACCACAGTGCTAAGGAGCACGAATACGAGAAATATTACAAGAGAACCGAATTGAGATCACGTCTGTGTACAGAAAGGCTTGTTTCATACATGATATCGTGCTTTGTGAAGGGAGAACCACGCGATCACAAATGTGATCAAGGTCCTGAAAGGGTTAAACTATATATAAGCAATCTTTTCATGTTACACATCATTAATGTTGATGGCTTAGGGCAATGTTTCCCAAAGTGTGGTACGGGAACAGTTTAGCGGTGGTACGCTTTCTTATGAGAATATCTTACAACAAAAGAACATTTCAAAAAAATTTTATTTAAAAACAAAGGTCTCAATGAAAATTTACAATTAAGTATTTTTCTATTGGCAATTTTTTTCTGAGTTAACAGTTAATAATTAGTATTGCCAAAAGCCAGTTGTAATTTTTAACTTTTGGGCAATTTTTTTTTATAGTAAAAAATACATTATTTTTTTTATTAAGGTACACAGCGTTACGAAAAATTTAGAAAGGGTAAACAAAAGTCATAAGTTTGGGAAACACTGGCTTAGGGGATAGAGCGCTCGCCTACAAATGAGGTGAACCGATTTCGAATCCCACAGATGGTTGGTCGATACGAATTCCGCATCCGGCTTGCATCAACCACAGCGCTGACGTGACAAATCCTCACTGATAGACGGATCATGGGTTAGAGTCCCCGCGTCGTCAAGCTAATCGTGAGAGGTTCTCGTGGTCTTCCTCTCCCTGTAACGCAAATGCGGGTAAGCTCCATCAAAAAGTCCTCCACGAAGGCAGACTTCTCCCAATACTCGATCCAGGAGTTCCCTTGTCTTCTAGATTGGGTTCAAAATTACAAGTCTACGGAGTTGAACATTAGTAGTCGTAAACCCATAAAATTGGGTCGGCTGTCAACGACGGTAATAAAACAATATATAAGCAACCTTTTCATGTTGCATATCATTTACGTTGAGCCGTGATGGCTCAGGGGATAGAGCGTTCGCCTTCTAATAACATAAACCGGTTTCGAATCCTAGCGATGCTTGTTCGATACGAATTCCGCATCCGACTTGCACCGACCACAGTGCTGACGTGACATATCCTCAGTGGTTCATCATGGGTTAGAGTCCCCTTGTGGTCAGGCTAACCGTGGGAGGTTCTCGTGCTCTTCCTCTCCATGTAACGCAAATGCGGGTTAGTTCCATCAGAAATCCTCCATGAAGGCACATTTCTCCTAATGCTGGATTCAGGAGTTCCCTTGTCTTTTGGATTGGGTTCAAAGCTACAAGGCTACGTAGTTGAACATTAGTAGTCATAAACCCAAATATTGGGTCGGCTGTTCAACGACTGTTATAGATACAGATATCATTTATGTTATATATTATATAATATAAGCAATCTTTTTATGTTATTTACATTATTACTAAGAAAGGACAATTTTTTTAAAGATATATAAAATATTTTAGTTCATTAAACCTAATAATTTTCATAAATACTATGTATTGATTTTAATTATAATTTAAACCACACACTTCCTGGAAGCTCTAAAACTGTGACGTCGATCGCACAAGACGTAAACAAAATTCGAGGTCTTGATGCATACGTATAAATTTAAAAGCATTTAACTGGTTTCACGAACTTCAACAGCAGAAAGGAATTCCCCCTTTTTTTCTTTTAATTAAAATGCAGTAGAATGCTTATAAAAAACACTTTAAACAACTTAAATATGAAGTTAATTTAACTAAATTATATCTTTTTGAGATTCTGCCTCTGATACATTGAACAACATTTAGTCAGTTTTAGAGCTTTAGAAATATTAATTTAAGATTATTATTTTTTTGGCAGTTGTCTACGTCAAAAAATGATTGTTTTATCCCTTTGGTTGGAATTGTTTTTAATTACAATTAAAAATTTATAACAAAGGTTAGAAAATTGAATTTTCAATTTGATTCCTGTTACTTTTTTTGGAATTTTTAGGACATTTAAATATTAACTTATTATCAGAGTCTAATGGATCTTGTTTAATGCGAAACTTTAATAAATACACTACAAAAAATATTCTACAATATATAAAGAGAGCAAATAATTAAATGTTATCGCTTTTAATTCAGTGGTTAAAAATAATTATAAATGCTTAATTAATCGAAATTTTTATAAAAAAAATTACTTTTTTTATTAAAAGTTTCGATTTATACATGTGAATTCAACTGTTTAGCGAATAAACCAATTTTGAGACTAATATTGATAAAACGATATGATGAAAAAAATCTATTTTTTAAGCGTTCTCTAAATATTCTCAAAATAATTCATACATTTTTGGCCACTGCATACTTTTAAAATAATTATTAGTCATCCGTTAATTAATGTGTTCATAATTGCTAGTGAAGTTTATTCATTAAATATCAGGATTCCGTAAAAATTTTTTATTTAATAATAAATTTCCTTTAGCAATATCACGGTAAAATTTCCCTTCTATAGTTAAAAAAAAAAAAAAAAAAAAAAAAAAAAAAAAAAAAAAAAAAAAAAAAAAAAAAAAACGATTGAAACTTAAACAGTTATTAGCCACAGTACTCCAATAGAGAGTTAAAGTACTGTAGCTAGTCAGAAAACGGTCAGAATTTTGATTGCTAATTCTCTCCCTCACTAATACGACCAATCGAAATTTTAAAGAAGAAAATAATGAAAAATATAATAATAACAACAGAAGCTGACGTTGCCAGGTTGTACCAGCTCCGGAAGTCATAAAAACACAAAATCTTTTCTATCCAGAGAGCACGACAAATGTCTAAAATTTGCTCTCTCTGTACCACAAAGGTTTTGTAAAAAAGTCTAAAAGTTTTTCTTTCTCTTGACTTTTTTCATTTTATTCTTCATCTGCGCATTGTAATAGAGGGCGTTGTTTTCTTTAGTTTTTAGTTTTTTCTTTTTATTCTGCTTTGCTTGTGAAATCGATGTTTGACCTGTGACTATGTGAGTTTTTATTTTTTTGATGATTTTGTTTGAGTTTCTTTTCTTAATTTGTTATTTGTATTGCGTGTTTTTTTTCCCTGGACTTCTATACAAAACCATCAGGATACTGAGGGAGTTAATTTAAACATTTGCTTCTCCCTCACTTAGAAATGGTTTTGTTTTTATGGCTACCGAAGCCGGTACCCCCTGAAGACGTCGACTTCGGTGGTCATATTTTTATTTTTATTTCCTTCGTTTTCTTTATTGTTACTTCTGAAATTTCTGCTGCTTTTTAGCTCGTTTTTTTCAAAGAAGTTTTTTCTATTTAGAATTAAAAATATTTGTGTTTTCTTTTAGTATTACAGTCTAAAATTTGCTCTCTCTGTACCCCAAAGGTTTTGCAAAAAAAGTCCAGAAAGAGAGAATACAAAGTTTTTGTTTTTGAATTGAGTTTTTGTTTTTGAATTTATTTTTGTATTCTTTCTCTCTCTCTCTTATTTTTTGGCCTTTGTATTTTGTATCTTTTCTTTTTCTTCTTTCTTTTTTTTTTTTTTTTTTTTTTTTTTTTTTTTTTTTTTTTTTTTTTTTTTGTCTTTGTATTTTGCATTACAAGTTTTTGTTTTGAGTTTTTGTTTTTGAATTTGTTTTTATATTTTGTATTCTCTTTTTCTCTCCTTTGGACTTTTTTTACAAAACCTTTGGGGTACAGAGAGAGCAAATTTTAGACATTTGTCGTGCTCTCTCGATAGAAAAGATTTTGTGTTTTTATGAATTCCGGAGCTGGTACAACCTAGCAACGTCATTGTCCTTATTATGTTTTTCATTATTTTCAATGTTTTCTTCCTTAAAATTTTCGATTGGTTTCAATTTTCGTATGGAATTTCTGTTGCATTGCGTAGAAATTCCATACGAAATTGCATTCTTTTGGAAATTTAGTATTTAACTGCTTTATACATGAGTTTTGATTTCTCTTTTTATCACAAAACACGACCATTTAATTGTTATTGTGCTACCGTTATTTTTAATTACTAAGTTAAGATCACAAAGAAACAAAAATTTATACAAGAGCAACCTAAAATTTCTCAGTTAGCTCTTTAGCCACTTTAGGAAAAATTTAACATCCTCATTATACTGAATATTAGTTTTCACCATTTTATTTAGAATTTTGCCAAATTCAATTTAAAATTTAGTCAAATAGTAGTCTGAAATATAGCGAATAATGTTTTTGAAAGTTAATTTTATTTTTCGCTCCTTTTCTTTCGAATTAGCTTGCCCATAAACTTTTATTATTATATTAGTTTATTAAATACTGATATAATAGTAAGACATATATTTTATGATTATTAAGTAGAGCACTTTTATTGTGAAATTTATGTGACTCATGTAAACAGTTCTCATTAATGAAGTTTATTTTTAGGACATGCGTTTGAAATATTGATCTTTTCCCCCCTCCCCACCTTCCCGAAAGGCACAGCCCACACATCAACTAGTCAGTGAATCCAGATGTCTTGCCGTTTCCCGGACTGCGATTTCTGAGATCGCTCATAATCCTGTTTTCCTTCTTACAAACAACCCCATTCCCTATCAAATGGTAAGCTGTTCATGTCTTATTCCAATTTATTAAATAAACTTCCATGTATGTTGTTTTATAGTAATTTCTAATGAACGATGAGTTTCTTTATTGGTTCTTAATTTTTAACTAACAATGTATTTGTCTTCAAAATTGGGAAAATAAAACGTGTTGCGTAACCTTTCCGGGAATAGCAGAAACATCCACGCGTGGGAGCCCTTGCGTTGCCAAGGGCAACAGGTTTATCTTTAACTGATGCAATGAAGATGCCGCTTTGAGAAAGATATCATAAAATTAAGATTTAAATAAAAGAGTTCGAATCTAATCACGAAGTGAATGCTTTTTAGAAGATACAAAAACGGAAACTTTCTCACTTTTTTTTGTTGATAGTTATCGGTTTAAGGGAATAATTTACCAAACAGAGCATGCTGGAAATTTTTTCTTTATTTGTTGACATTTTAAAAATTTATCGTTTTCTATGGCTAGAATGCTTGTGGAATAATCTTACTCTTGATCAAACACAATTTGCATTTTCAAATCAGACACCATATATAATTTAACATAGTGCCAAGAAAAAAATAAATTGCACAACAAATTATCTAAAGACTGACATGTTAAAATATTCCAATTTCATAAAAACATTTATATTATGATCTTAAATAAAATTCATAGACAATCGTTTGCTGATCTTGTGGAGAAAAAATTATTCTATGTGTTATGAATATATGTTTATAAATGCATGAATAATGAGAAGATAATGATGATTAATAATGAATATACAATGAAATAAGTTGTCAATGAATATATGTTATATAAATGAATATAATGCTACACAAATATATGTATTTTAATTTCAGTAATCACATTCTCAAATTTGTTTATCGTTTGATAGTAATATTAGGTAAATAATTTTTAAAAATTTTAAATTATGTAAAACACAGCATTCATAAAAATTTGGAAACACAAAATAATGAAAGCAAGTAACTAAATGATTATCAAGAAGGTATGATATAATATATTGTATATTGTAAATTAATTTAAGTCTGTTACTTATTTGTATTGTTTCTTTATTTTAAAATCAAATGATCGAACTCTTTAATTTCAAGGACAAGTTATTTTAATGATATTTTAAAAGATTTTGAATTTTCGCGCATAAAAGAAAGGATATTACAGAATCATTGGGGTCAAAGGTGGTTTAGGTTTGTTTTATAGTGTTGAGCTTTACAATAATTTTTAGAATATTTTCTTTTGAAAAAAGAATTGACGGTATTCTTGCCCACCAGTTCCATCACGAATGAGTAACATTACGCTTATTTCCTTTTAATATAGCAAAAAATTACGCCATACGAAAAATTAAAAAGCGAAATTTCATCTGAATTATATTTCAAGTTTTATTCTTAACAAGTCAATCAATAAAAAAATACATTGATTTGTGCTAGTTTATAATAACGCAATAATTATCAGAATTAAAATAATCTCCTGTAAGTTTGAAAGAGTACGTTAGTGGTTTGTTTCTTTTTGCTACCAAAAAAAAGTGCTTAATATTTTACGTTACCCAAAAATTCTGCTTACCTATTGTATGAATTTTATATTATATTAACTACAAATTTTTCAAAAACTATTTTATGTTCCTCAAATTTGATTTAAGTTTTACAAAATACTTCGATGTTCTTTTTATTTTAGATGATTGTTTTGAGTTGATTTCCTATAATCAGAAACACATACAGCAGTTACTTTGATGAGTCATTTTCACTTATTTTTAAATCAAAATGTTCATTTTTGTAACTTGTCAAATTTGAACTACTTTAAGTTTTTTTTTCCTTATTAGATTTTTCTATCATGAATCAACAACCCTCAATCAATCAGTGTTCTTCAAATTTTACTTTTGTTTTACGAAATACTTCAACATTCTTTTTATAAGTTAATTTAATATAATCTAATGCACACAACGTTAATTTTCATTAGCCACTTCCATTTATTTTTATATTACATTGCTAATAATCTGAATTGCTGGAAATTTGTGGAAATTTGTTGTTAATTTGTTGTTAATTGCTGGAATCATTGCTGGAAATTTGTTGTTAATTTTGAACTGTTTCACGCTTTTTTTTTCTTTTCAGATTTTATCTATCATATAACAACAATCCACAATCAAAGTTCACTCGCTCAATGAGAGTAATTAAAGGAGCTTCATTAACTGTGATTTTTTTTATGTGAACATGAAGAACTCTATACAAAGATACCTGAATTGGATACCTTTGAAATCTGATGAACTCTACTCTAAGATCCATGGCTACAAAATGAGTTGGGAAGATATGAAACAACATGGATACCCTCTTCCAGATCAGAACGATTCAAGCAAAATAATTATTATGTTCGACAATATGTTCGATGCATGCGATGATCCAGCCGTGCAGAAATGTAGGTGTGGGAAGTTGATGTCCATCCTTGACCAGAACTGGTACCTGGATCAAGCTGGGTGCACCTATCATCCAGGTAAGCGAACATTCGGAGAAAGATCTTCCTCAGCAGTCTTCAGTTGTTGTGGAAAAACTGATGACAGTGTGGGCTGTGCTTTCAGCGAGCACCATGTTAGCTTTCACAGGCCGTACATGAACGCTAACTTTCTGCAAACGAAATATAATACTATAAATAATGGAAAGAAACCTTCAAACATTTACTCTCTTGATTGTGAGATGATATTCACCACGTGTGGATTGGAGCTTGCCAAAGTGACATTGATTGATATTAGTGGATCCATCATGTATGATACCTACGTCCGACCAGAACATCAGATCTTAGATTACAACTTTGAATTTAGTGGTATAGACGAATCCCAGCTGGAAGGAGTGACCACTACCTTAACTGACGTCCACAAAATATTCTCCAATTTGCTCAACAAAGATACTATTCTAATAGGACACTGCCTCGCCAATGATTTTCTTGCTTTAAACATTGTCCATGAAAACGTTGTCGACACTGCCTGCCTCTTTCCCCACGAGTTGGGACATCCTTATAAACATTCGTTAAAGTACCTCACTTTGACGTACTTGCGGAAGAATATTCAAGCTGGCAACAAAGGGCACAACAGTATAGAGGACGCTCGAAGTTGCTTAGAGCTTGTGCTTTGGAAAGTTTATCATGAAACCAGAGGTTCTCCAACGAATTCTCCGAATGCTCACGGATTTATTCCTTTTTCGATACCTTCAAGTAATCTTTCACCACCGAATTCTTTTACGCCAACAATACAGCCAAATGGTTTTCCACGAGACTTATCTGTGAATCCAGACTACCTTCCTGCTTTAGGGCCACCGATACATATTTTAATGTCAGTACCGCCTCCAAATAGATTTCCTCCAGTACCACCTACCCGCTTCATTTCCTCGAACCTTGTTTATTTACCTTTTAATCCTGCTCTTCCATGTATAAACTTTCCTCCACCACTTTGCCGGGTTAATGGTCCTTTACAGTGGTGGCCATTTTGGAGGGGAACTATGTGAAAACTTCTGGAGATGAGTATTTTTTATCATTTTGAATTTTATTTTGGACCTATCCTCTGATCAGGCGATAAAGAATTTCAGTGATAAGTTTCGTCAGAATGTCGTAACATACTGAATTTTAAGGGTATGATTGAGGCAACATGACACTGAAATTTTTTTTATCATCTGTTAGAGAATATGTTTGTCAATTTTTATATTAAAACTTTTAAAACAGGCTGTAAAAATTGCATTTAAATAACTTATGAGGCTTCTATTGTGGAACAATTATCCACCTATACGATAAATAAAAAAGTGATTACAGCGTCTTCTGATGACTAAATTAATAGTCACTATTCCGTTTATTTCAAAAAAACTTTACATGCAGTAAAACAGTTATACGTTAACATAGGAAAGCTATTGCAGTGTCTTCTGTTGACAAAAATTAGAATAATTTCAGGATAAATTTCAGAATTATTCAAAAAAATTCAGAATAAATGCTAGTTTTGAATTTCAGAACAGAATTGAATTCTGTTCTGAAATTCAAAATTAGAATTTTTATTTAAAAAACAATATAGAAGGAGAGGTTAAAGATTATGTGACACAAGTTTGCCAAAAAAGGGAAACTAATCAACTTTCGAATTATGTAGAAACACATTCAATAGTAGCATAACGCAGTGTATTTTGGCATCCTGTTGCTTATCATACACGATTTTTTCTGAAGATTCAATTCTTATTGGCTCAAAATTCTTATTTTCTCAAAGTATCTAAACCGAAGAAATTCTGAAACTTTATTTTTTTCATTTTATAACTTACAAGATAGCAAATAAACATCAAATTTAGTCACAAAAGGTGTTGAAATAACTTCGAAGTAGCGTATTGTCGTTTTATTATATGTAGACACTTATTCTAAACTGTAGTTGTATTATTTATTTAATACCATACTTTACATAAATTATTAACCTTGATAAACTGTTCATAAAAATTTTAATCGAAGTTAAATTTTTATCTGAAAAAGTTTGATGAGACTTATTTTTGAGCACACTATGATTGTGTAAGATGTTTACTTTATAAGTTATAAAACAAGCCTATCCATGAAATAATCTTAATTCAAAAGCTTTAATAAACTTTTTATAAAGACTAGTTTATTTATTTGAAATAAATTGTTTTTATTATTATTATTATATATATAACATAATAAAGACAAAAAAGAAAAAAGAGAATAACGAAGAAAATTAAGAAAAATAATAAGTTCTATTTACTGCGCATATATTGCAAGTAAGAACTCATTAAATATGTTAAAAATATAAAAATATCGTCGGGAAATCATGAAAAAAGTATATAAAGTTTCATGAAAAGAGAAGGCGAAAAATTATAGAAATAAAAAAATAAGGGTAACAAAGTAATTGAGTAAAATACAATAAATTTTATTGTGTTTTTCTCTTCAGGGAGAAGAAACTTTAAGATAGTTCTTGAAGTGCTTAAATATTTTTTTATATTACATTTTGGAAATATTTTTTAAAACACAATGTGTTTTTTTTAGTCTTTTTAACTTTTATTTCGTTCAGAATATATATTTTAATCTCAAAATGTCTGTGTATAACTAAGTAACCTTGTCAAATAATGTTCCTCTATTTACTTGAAGAGAAGAAGTTCAGTTTTTTGAGCAGGGTAGCACACTGGTTCGACTTGGAATTGAACTTATTGGAACAACATGTTGAGTGATGTTTTAAAAACACTCTATTTTTTTCGCTTTTAAAAGCATGCTCTAGGCATCTGTAAATACATAATATTAACTTGTTTATGTTAATATATATTCTAAAAGATACTATCTTCGATACTACTATTCGTTGATAATATCAATTAACTTGTTCTTGTTAACTTGTTGATCAGTTTCAGGGTCAACAGTACATGGGAATTGAAAATAATGGTCTTAAGCACACAATTCATAACGTTAAAGTTACAGTTTAGGAGCTACCCTTTTTTCAATTCCTACAATTAGTTCACACTGTCCCTATATCTTGTTCAAATTTTCAATCGTTAATAAAATACTTTTTATTCATCCACTCTAGTTCAAACACATTTTTTTCGAACTTGTAGTGGGTGACACTTGCTATAATATAGTTTTTTCAAATATTAATTCATTCATTAAATAGGGATGAGTGAGAAACGAAATGGAATTTTCTGATTGGTTAAGCGTTAGTCATTGTTTAAAATTTTACTCTAAGCGACAGTTTTTCACATATTTTAAAGGTAACATCAGTGATAGTTTCTAACTTATAGCTCTATTTGAACAAAAAAAAATTATTGCGCACATTTAAATATTTAATTATTTAATATTTGTTGTGACAGCTATACACAATAAAGAACATTACGTGGTAGCACGTGGGATCCACGTCATACAAAAAAAAAACATATTTTGTGGATGTCGTATTTGTACAGTTATGCTTATCCGTTTGACTGTAAATCAAGTTAATGGAGTTGATTTCTCGTCTGTGTACTATTTGTTATTACATTTTAGCAGTGTCAAAGTGCCAGTAATGTTTATATAAAACGTTTTAAATGCTCTAACCATTTAAGGCAACTCCATATTCACTTTTTACCCAGTTATTTTTGTTTCAATAACTATATTTCTCAAGAGTATAGTTCTCAATTAAATCAAACTTAGCTACTTCTAAATAATAATTGCAAGTAAAATGTTCCTATTTTTTGCCACAATATCCAGTTATTTTTGTTCCAATATTTCAATTTCACAGCAGTTGTTTAGAAATCAAATTTCTTTTGCATAACCACTTATAAACAATAATTACAAGTAAAACATTCTTATTCATTCTCAACAATAACCAGTTTTTCCCCCCAATATTCCAATTTTATAACTGTAGTTCTCAAATTATTCAAACATAGCCACTTATAAGCAATAATTACAAGTAAAATATTCGCATTCTTTCTCAACAATAAGCAGTTATTTTTGTTCCAATATTCCCATTTCATAACTGTAGTTCTCAAATTATTCAAACAAAGCCACTTGTAAACAATAATTAAAAGTAAAACACTCTTATTCTTTCTCAACAATAATCAACTATTTTTGTTCCAATATTCCAATTTCATAACAGTATAGTTCTCAAATTATTCAAACATAGCCATTTTTAAACAATAACTACCAGTAAAATATTCTTATTCTTTCTCAACAATTACCAGCTATTTTTGTTCCAATATTCCAATTTCATAACTGTAGTTCTCAAATCATACAAACTTTGCTACTTATAAACAATAATTAGAAGTAAAATATTCTCATTCTTTCTCAACAATAAACAGATATTTTTGTTCCAATATTCTAATTTCATAACTGTAGTTCTCAAATTATTCAAACAAAGCCATTTTTAAACAATAATTAAGAATAAAATATTCTTATTCTTTCTCAACAATTACCAGCTATTTTTGTTCCAATATTCCAATTTCATAACTGTAGTTCTCAAATCGTACAAACTTAGCCACTTATAAACAATAATTACAAGTAAAATATTATCATTCTTTCACAACAATAAACAATTATTTTTGTTCCAATAATCCAATTTCATAACAGTAGTTCTCAAATTATTCAAACATAGCCATTTTTAAACAATAACAACCAGTAAAATATTCTTATTCTTTCTCAACAATAACCACCTATTTTTGCTCCAATACTGAAATTTAATAAGAGTATAATTTTAAAGTTATTCAACCTTAGCTACAATTTTAATAACAATTTTAAATAAATTAAATAAGCTTTTATGATTTTAAGTGACAATTATCAGCTAATAACTGTTTAGTAATTAGAAAAATGTAAGCTGCTGAATATTAGATTATTTTAAAAGAATATTTTAAAAGTTACTCCGTGTTTGATATCGCGTTTTAATCTAATAAAATAAATCTTCAAGTAATTGAAACGCGTAAAGTTAAATAAAAACTTTCCGACTTAAATTTTTTAAAACATAGGCCTAGACAAACAAATAACCTACATTGTCTTTCATTCATCTCTGCTGTCGGAGACTAGTTTCATGTGATTTTTGATAAATGGCAGCAGTAGGTGACGATTTTATTTATCTACCCGGTTTTGTCAGAATCTCCTCTAAGTACTGTAGGTTAAATATTTAAAAAAAAAAAAAAAATCCTTTTTAGATCTAGTTATTTCAAAATCACAAAAATAGTTTAATGTTAATAAACTTCCTTCAAATTGCAGCTTATCGAAAACTATGGATCTACTATTTCTAAAAAGTGCACACTAATTTCTTCATAAGCATTTTTGGAAAATTTTCTGTGTTTACTAAATCAGATTAAATACCATTAAATATTAAATTGCTTCATTAAATTACTATTAAGAACTAAATTATTGTTTTCAAGATTTGTGTAAAAATTAAAAGAAAATTACTTAAAATTACGAGAAAAATTGCCTGCACTGTAAAAAATTCCGAACCAAATTACGGTAATTATTACCGTAAAATTCTTTTCTACCGGAAGATGTAACGGAACAAAAGTCTAATAGACCATAATATTTTACGTAAAAATGAATTTTACGGTAAAATGTGTTTTTCGGTTGATGCACCCGAAATGCCGGTACTTAATTTAATCCGAAATTTCTTACAGTACACGCTTAAATAATTAGTAATTTCAGCAACATGACTTAATATTTATCTAGCACTATTTATATATTGGGCAAATAAGGTCAACCGTTCGTTTTTCATTGTTTTTTTTAATCTTGTATTTTTTAATATTTAACAATTGCAGAAATACCTATTTTCCAAGTTAATATTTGCGTAAAGCACTAGAAATATACCATATCGATATACACAACCTTGCTTGAATAAACATATCAAATTCATCATCTTTTAATTTAACAAGCTTCCTGAAAACTTTAAAATATGTTTTAATATCAATAATGGCCTAATAATTCGGGTCAGTCTTTTATTCTTTATGTTTTAGTTTTATATTTAGAGGGAGAAAAACACTTTTGGCTACCTTTTTTTACGGAAAAAACATGCCATATCACAGTTTAATATCAGCCTTTAAAAACTTTCATCTGATCTCTTGAACAAGGAAAAAAAAAAAGGTAATTTTTTACTGATAGAGCATTTACAGTTTCCTTTTTCATAGATAATCAACTAGCTATCTTGAGAAGAGGGAAATGTATGACACTGAAGCGATCCTTACTTTGAAGTTAAATCATAAACTCTTTTACATTAGGTATCACAAATTAATATTCAAATGAGAAGGAAAACGCTATTAAAATCTGACGAATTATTAGCGAGATCAATCTAAGTAAAGAGGGATTGAAGACATCAAAGTTTTATTCAACAATTAATTAATATAAAGTAAACGATAATTCCAAACAAAGAACTGGTCACTTTCTGATATATCTGACGAATTTAACTGATTTTAATAATTCTAATAAAACTCAAAATAATTTATAAAATTAAAATAGCGATTTACCAAAAGAAGCAATTTCTAATCAAATATTTTTGTAAAGTAAAAAAAAAATTTCAATGTAAAACCAAAAATTTAATATTGAAATTAATAAAACGATTTTGAAAATGTATCATTTTATAAAATCGTTTGCTGAAAATGATGTTTTTTTCCTCTTTAATTTGTTGTTTCCAATAAATTAAAAACAAACCAAGATATTTTTAAGTATGCAATTATAAATTTTAAAGCTAGTTTTAACACATGTTAATTTAAATTACAATAAATTAGAACATTTGGCAACAAATTGAAAGAGCAGCAATGACGTAATTTTGCAAATTTCTTTTCACTTTTTAGCACTTTTTTTATTTCTGTCCTTTACAGTTATTTGAAAGAGCAAGATACTACATTTAATAATAATAAGTCATAATTATTACAAGAGTTGCGTACGTATATTCTGTGTTTTAAAGTGATGTCGAATTAACATGGTACTAAATTTTATATATATTTCAAAGCTTATACAATCTTCCTTTAGCTCTTGAAGTTTATATTACTGGTGCTAAAAATTTGCATCTTAGCAAATTAGATACGCCATTATTTTTTAATAAGAAAACTTTATAACTATTGTTAAAATGTGTTTACATATGTACTTCATTAAATTTACATTTTTGTATAATGTTCCATTTATGTT